TACTATGCTTCCTTTATTCTAATATTGTATTTTAGTATATGGAATTTCTAATTTAGAAATTAGGGTACATTAGCTAGATGGGAAGTATTTTGAGATGTATATTGTTGGTGTATTCCTCCAAACAGGATGAAGCAGATGATGAATTCACTAGGGATTACTTGTTTTCCGTGAAGTTCACTGATCGATGTGTTTATATGTTTCTATCACTAATTTGATAATTTGTCTTAGAGAGATCTGAATATTCTTCCTTATTTTTATTTGAGGTTTGTGTTTTGTGGTAATTGTATCAAAAAATATTATTATTATTATTAATTGGTCCAAAAAGTTTCCGACTTGCATGGGAGGTCCAAAATCAAAGTTTTTCTGGGTTTTTGGTCCATAATACACTTGAAAAGTCGATTTTACCCTTTTCATTTCTTTTTTTTATTTTCTTTATTTATTTTGGTATTTAAATAATAAAATATAAAAAATAAAATCTCTATCTCTCTCTCTCTCTCTCTCTCTCTCTCAGTAAATAGAAAAGTCAAACCCCAACCCACTTCTTCTTATTCTTCCCCGATACAGATCTGATGAACCCAATTCTTTTGCGAATGTGAAGACTTCATCTTCATCCATGTTTGCTAGAACCCTAATTTTTCCGATTACTTCTCACCTGATTTTTTATTTGATGATTCTTACAATCCATACCACCAACAATATATCTAGGAACTCACAGCCACCACCACTACTTCATTACTCCTACCACCATCAACATCGCGTTCTTGTATGGATTCCGACCAGCTCCACCACATCTTCCAAATGTTGTAACAGATTTGATAGAGGGGAATAAGTATCATCAGAGTGGGATGAATGCGCTCTTGTAACAACTTAGAGTTGAATGTATGATAGTCGAACAGTCAGTAATTAACCCCAAATCCGTAAACTAGTGAAAAACTATTTACGGGCATCACATTCCTCATCGAGTTTTATAGAAGGGGTAAGGGGATAAGAAATTGTGACAAGCCTCATCTTTAGATCCGGTGCTATAGAAGGCAGCAACTTTAGCATCAAGTAAAGCAACATCAATCGGGTGACTTAAATCCCTAAGCTTCTCCGTTGCCATTGCATAGAAATTGTGCAAGTGTAAAACCCTAGATGAAAACCTCGAGTGAAATTTTTTTGCAGAAAAATCCTGTTGAAGGAAGCAGTGTACAGACGAAACCCTAGAGGGCGAAAATGAGGAAGACGGTATATACAAATTCTAGAAGGAAGACAATTAAATAAAAATAAATAAGACAACTTCAAAATGTGTGTGTGTGTGTGTGAGAGAGAGAGAGAGAGAGAGAGAGAGAGAGAGATTTTCTTTTCTTTTTATTTTTAAATTAAAATAGTATTTGAAAAAATATAAAAAATATAAAAAAGAAAGTAAAAGGGTATAACAGTCATTTCAAGTTTTTTTGGACTAAAAACACAGAAAAACCTTGATTTTGGACCTCCCATGCAAGTCGCAAAACTTTTTGGACCATATCCAAAGATTTTTGAATATCACAAAGACCAATCTTGCAGTTTTGTCATAAAAAATAAAAGCTTCTAAGTTTTTTTTTCGAGCTTTTTCAAAAAGCTAAAAGCTTTCGAAAGTTCCATGTCGAATACGTCCTTAGTGTATTGGTACGATGAATGAAATGTGTCAGATATTACCATTTCATTCATTGATGTTTGTGTTGTGCATCATTGTTTGGTTCTCAACTTTTGGCGTTGATTTGGTGTCATCTTGTTACATCTCAATTTGTTCATTTGAAAACCGTAGTAACATAGATCGCCAAACATGCCACGATACTCGTACCGTGCATGTACTCTATGTTACTAGCACCATAATTTGGCGTCATCTTTTTTTTTTGGCTAAATACAAG